CTCAGGATTTTATTGGAACATCGTGACTACGGATATGTACGATCGAATACGTACGATCAGCTTTGCGGGAAACTGTCCAAATTCTCCTGAGTATTCTGTTGTGTATTAGATCGCAATAATTCCTAATTGCACGCACCTCGTATGTAAATACTCCGTTTTTTCTCTTTTCTCTACTGCTCTAGTGCCACTAGTGCACTTTCTACACTCAATATGGCACCTGAACCCAAGAAGGAGGGCTCGACCCACACGTACGTTACGATGGAACTATGTGAGTGTGCGATCCGCTTAAACAATGTTCAAAAGATTGTTAAGCGTATCAAAAACGGCGGATCGTCTGTGATTGGTCGCAGAGTCAATACGCCCGATACGCGCCATGGGACGGCACCCTAAGACTTAAACAAGCGGTGGTTAACGTGCTGTCGGAGAACGACACGTGTTTCGCGCGTGCGGTGGTCGCGGCTCTGTATCCCGCCAAGCACAACGCGGAACGATGCGGCTCATATCCCGATTACGTGACGGTGCTGAATCTCGACGGGATCAAGTTTCCCATAGATCTGAAGCACATCGGAAAGTTCGAACGTCAGAACGACGTATCGATCAACGTATTTACAACTCAGGAAGGAATTGAAAAAAAAAAAAAAATAATTACCAAATTCTTTACTGGGTGCTTACGAAAAAGCGCTCGGAGTCAGAATTTGACCAGAGGTACGCACGCCTCTCTATGATTCAAGTATTTCATGTTCTGTCCCAATTTGTCTGAAATAGCGACCCGGATCGCTTGAATAGGGCTAGATAGTGGATAGGGCTCTCTGCACAAGAATATTTGAACACGTTACGTTACCGTAAGTAATTACATATATTTAGGCCGTAAATTAAGACTTGATCTGACAATGAGCGTAGTAAGTCCGAATTTACACACAAATGTAAATAAATCAGCACTTAACGTAACGTAGCGTGTTACAAATGTTCTTGTGTTGAGAACCTTGCAACCGCACGCTTCCCAGTCGGAACCCCTTCGTGAAGGGGCACACCAAATGATCTTCCATAGGACAAAGTCGGCGATAGCCACAAGAGGACGACCACATCCATGGGCAGGAGGACAAACCGAAACAGCAGCAGAAGCGGCATAAAGGCGCTCCGAGGATGGAAAGGGCTAGACCCTTGTGTTGCGAACCCATTCGGCGCGAATGCGTAGATTAAGTGAGAATTTAGGTATAAGTATAGCGACAATGATCGCTGAGCAGCGGCTCAACTAGAGTAAAGAATTTTTGCTTACCGATCTAGATTTTTGTTTCATTCTGATTAACGGCCCAAGCCGTAAAATATTTTGTCTTGCATCACACGCGCGGATCGGCGCAAAAGGCGCACGACATAGGCTAAGAGCCACACACAATCTTCAAAGGAACCAACCCGGCCTAATAACGTAGAGATAGGTGCGCGAGCGCGAGAACTAAAGATCCGATAAGCAAAAGAGGAGTCTCTGACTTTCTCCCGAGACGCGACACGGCGCTAGAGTAGACTCGCGGCGATGTCCGACGGAAACTTCGAGAGATAGCGCGACACGCGATAACACCGTTCCATCCTTCACATCGGAGTCATAAGAGTGAGACAGATTAGGTCAACAGACCCGTCCGACACGAGGCTAGGGTGTTAACGCGAAAAACTAAGTCCTGACTCAAATTGGAGTCAAAGGAGAAAAGCAGGTTAGACCACTGGACTTGTCCGACACGAGGTTAGAGCGTAAGCGCGACACGCGAAAAACTAAGTTCTGACTCAGATCGGAGCCACATTCAAAAAGCAAGTTAGGTTGATGGAGCTTTTTTTTTTTTTTTTTTTTTACTTGGGGAAATTTTCTACTGCCGGGTTCCCGAACCTGACCGAAATCAGGCCCGGTATGTGGCCCGGCAGCCCCCTTTGGTGTTCGAGGGGGAAGACCCCCCTGCCCTCCTGGGAGAGGACAGGGGGAGTGTGGGATTCTACGGGGGCCGGGCTGTGAACCCCGCACTCGTCGCAGCCTAACCATTAAAACCCCAAGGGTGTCCTTCTCCGCGCATTGCTGGAGGACGCCCGGGAATTATTGATAATTACCTCCGGGCGCCCTCCTGCGCGTGACCTGTGTGAAAGGCCTCCGATCCTTTGATCCTGACTTTACCGGATCCTAACTCCAATTGTACGGCGGGGATGTGGACACCACCCACCCCCGCCGTCCTCTCCCTTTGTTGTGGGAGGCTGGGCTCGACACCCGGAATCCCAGCCGGGGTGCCGAGCCTCCCTTCCTCCGCACCGTTCCCCAGTCGGGGAGAACGGTACAGAAGTGCGTGACCTCGCTTGTCGCCAGAAGGTGACATTGTTCTCCCATTGTTTGCTCACGACGGGAGCGACCGACCGGTAAAGAGCAGGGCACGGGAAGTTCCACCGCCCAAGCGGGACCCCCACCATATCCCCTCGGTCGGTCATTGGCCTAGATCGGAACGGACCCGTCGACACTCAGAGGTTTTGCTCCCCGCGCCGGATTCGCTCCGCCACCTTCTTGGCGGTCATTACTTGGCCGCAAAAGGCCAAGAATGCCCGCCATCCCGATTCGTTCCCGACCATCTTCGCCACGATGGCCGGAAGGGAGAGGTCGTCGCCGACCTCCCCCTTGAGGACACGGCGCTGCTCTTCCCACGCCGGACAAACCTCCAGCGTGTGCTGCGCCGTGTCCTCCTCCCCGTCGCAATGGTGGCAACGGGTGGTGGCTTCCTTCCCTATTCGGCACAGGTACCTTCCGAAGCATCCGTGCCCGGTCAGTACCTGCACCGAATGATACGTCAGTCCGATTTCCCCCCCCCCCCCCCCGTTGAGCCCGTCTGGCCAGCCGGGGCCGGTGGCCTCCGCCAACCCCCAGCCCCCTTCGGCGTTGGCAAGATAAACCTGCCATTTGCCGATGAGGACCGACGTTTCCCGGAGCCTTATGGCTCCACGCGTTTTTTCAGGGATTGGTGCTCCGCCCGCGCCCGCCTTCAGCTCGGCAACGCGCCTGTACACCTCGGCGCGCTGCCTCGCCGCGAGCTCCAGCGGGGGGATCCCCGCCAGCAGTGTCGCGGCGTCGTGCGAAACTGTACGGTAACACCTCGAGACGCGCTGGGCGATTGTGCGTTGAACTCTACGGAGTTTCGCCCTGATGTGCGCGGTCTTCTCCGCCTCGTCAGCCCACACGGGTGCACCGTACAGCACGACTGACTGCACGACGGTCGCGTAGAGCCGGCGAGCCCGACCGCTCGCCCCTCCCAGATTGGGCATCAGCCTCGCTAAGTTGTTTGACACGCTCAATGCCCTGGGAGTCAAGCGAGCGAAATGCTCGCCGAAGCTCCAGGTTCCATCCAGGTGGAGGCCGAGCACCTTCATGCTCGCCTCCACGGGGACTCGGACTCCCTCCACGTTGATGTGGGCTTTGGGCGGCTTCCCCAGTCGGCGGTCGTAGAAAAAGACCGCCTGAGTTTTCTGGGGAGCCATCCTCAGCCCTAGTCTCTTGATTTCAGCCACCACTCTTGCCACAGCGACGTTGGCGACTCTGATGGTCTCCTCTCATGTGTCGCCCCCGACCCCCAGAGTTGTGTCGTCGGCGAAACCTCCTAGCCAACAATTCGGGGGGAGGGTGGCGCGAAGGACGGCGTCGTAGCCGAGGTTCCACAGGAGCGGACCCAATACGGATCCCTGTGGAACCCCTCGCACGATCAGCCTCACCCTCACTACACCGAACTTGTCGGTGTAGACCAATCTCCTGTCCCGGAGATAATCGTACAGTGTGGCCACCAGATAGTCGGTCACCCCGTGATAAAGGAGTGCCTCCCTGATGACCCACCACGGCAGGGAGTTGAAGGCGTTGGCTATGTCAAAAGACACGCCCAACACCGCCCTGCCGTCCCTCACTGCAGCCTCCGAGAGGGCACGGACGCGCAGAATCGCGTCAACCGTAGACTTGCCCTCCCGGAAGCCGTACTGGTCCGGCGATAGGTCCGGACCAGTCCGGGACAGGTGCCGGACGAGTCTGCCGGCGATGATTCGCTCCAACAGTTTTCCAGCCTCGTCCAGCAAGCAGATTGGTCTATACCCGGAGGGCTCATCGGCCGGTTTGCCAGCCTTCGGGAGGAGAACCAACCTCGCGGTCTTCCAGGTTCGGGGGAAGCGGCTTTCCTTGAGACATTTGTTGAATATTTTCCTCAAATGCTCCGCCGCCTCCCCCGTAGCCAAAGCCCATGCCCTTCCGTGAATCCCATCGGGACCGGGAGCCTTCCCGGCCCGCAGCTTTCCTTTGGCTGCGGACCTCATTTCCTCCATGGTGATCTCGAGCTCCTCGTTCCATTCCCCCACGGGAGGGGGGGGCGGACCTCCGTTCCCGGGATCGTCCGAGAAGAGGGTGTCCACCACCCTCTCGAGGAACTCGAGGTCCATGCCCTCTGTCGCCGGGGGCGCCCAGGCTCTCAACTTATTGAGAACCATTTTGTACGGGCGTCCCCAAGGCTCCCGGTGCGTTTCCTCAAAAAGTCCCTTCCAGGCACGGTCCTTGGCAGCCCGGATAGCTCGGGAGAGGGCTCGTTTGGCGGAGCGGTACTCCTCTCCCGCCTCCTCAAAGCGCAGGGGATCTCTCCTGCGCCTCGCGCGCAGCCAGACTCGTCTGGCGTGGACAGAGGAGCGCCTAAGCTCGCCAATCTCCTCTGTCCACCAGTACGCGTGTTTCCTCGGGTGTGGCCTGGACCGGGGCATCGACGCGTCGCACGCTCGAGTCATCGCGTCCCCTATCCAGGCGACTGCCTCGTCAATGTCCATATCCGATTGGACCACGAGGTCGTCCGACCACAGAGACACCATTAGCAAGGCCCTGAGCATATCCGCGTCTAACTTGCGGAGTGCCCACCTCGGGAATCTTTCATTTATCTCCCGGCGGCGAGCCCGGATCGCCGAAGTGGTGACCGGGAGACTCATCTGGATCCACTGATGGTCCGACAGTGTCTCCAGCTCTACGGCCACCCTCCAATCCCGAACACGGCGCGCGACAGGGGGGAAGCCCACGTGAGGTCCACGATGGACCCCCCCGTCTGCCGCACGCAGGTCTGCACCGCGCCGGTGTTTACGCACACCAGCCCCAGGCCCGCCGCCCAGTCAAGGAGAATAGCTCCTCTCCTGTCCGTGGCCGGGGAACCCCAAAACGTTGCTTTTGCATTGAAATCCCCGGCCAACAGAACCTCTTCGCGAGGCAGGTATCTCACGAGACAATCCCTCAAGTTGTCCAAGATTGCCTCGAAACCTGGGATATCCAGTGATCGAGCTGGAGGGATGTAAACTCCCACCACGACCACCAGCCCCCATCTCGCAGCAACGAACCCGTCCCCGCTCTCCAGACGAGAGCAAGGGACAGGCTCGTCCGTGACTCGCCACGTTATCGCAGCTCTACCGCACCGGCTGACCGCCCAGCACGGGTGATTGGGCGGCACCCAGTACGGCTCGGCTATAATCCCCAGGCCACTGCAGGTCTCCGCCATCGTATGCAGAAAAACATCCTGCGAAGACCTGCAGTGGTTTATATTGCCCTGTAAGACCTTATGGGTCATTTGTGGATGCTACTTCCGGAGCCTCCACTCTCTCTCCACGTGATTGCTCGACGGTAGGTTTGGTCCACTGTTTCCACAGCCTCCATCGGAGCAATTGGCTCAGCCGTGTCCCCGTTTGTTACGGCTTGAGCTACCTCGTTGGATTTTTGTTCCTGAGGCAGAGCCTTTTCACACAGAGCAATAGAGGCTTTCTCCTTTTTACGCCTCTGGGCTTTGGGCCTATTTTCTTCGTCGTCCTGGCCCTTCGCGGGACCCACTGTGTCATCCTGAGCAGCCCGTTTTTTGGGGACTCTCCTCGGGACCACAATATTGGTCTTTTCGGTACTCACAATTGTGGGTACACTGGTGGACTGTGCGGAGAGAGCCTCCACCTCCATCTCACCCCCATCCTCCGCAGCGCATTGAAATCTCGCCCTCAGGGGATTAAGCGCCCTTCCGGGTCTGGATTTCTTCCTCGAAGAGGGGCACGCTTTGCTGCCTACCCGGTGATTCGCGGGTTGACCACAGTCAGCGCACACCAGGCATCGCGGTTTGTTTGCGCACCCCTTTGCCAAATGTCCAGGCTCGCCGCACCTGTAACATTTTGAACTGCGGTCTTCCGCCGCCGTGCACTGTGTTCGCACGTGTCCAGGCTCCAGGCAGCGGTAACATTGCAATGGCCTGGTTTCCAAGGCCTGAACACGGGCCTTGAACCACCCAATGACAATGTGTCTCTCCTTCAGAATATTAATTGCCGCTGCGATTGGGCATCGAATCCAAGCGGTTCGGAGACCGAGTGGCCCTCTCCGCAATTCCCCGACCTGAATCTGGCCGGATTGACATTTCCCTACCCTGGCGATGGACTCCGCGACTTCGGCGGGTGTCGCCGAATCCGCGAGGTCCAGAATACAGAACTCCCGCGTCTTGCACGGCCTGGCAATTCTTATCCCGGGTTTACCCGCGAACAAAGCTGTCAAACTTGCCGCCAGTTTGTCGGCTTTCTCAGTCCCGTCCTGGCCGGAGATCTCCATCAGGAGTGCCCCGGTTTGTGCTCTGCGCGGCTTAAGGCCGCCACTAATACCCATCTCTTGGAGGGTAATTTTTTGTGTTGCCTCTTTCATCACAGAGTCATAGTCACCATCTGCGCAAGTGATGGTGACTGCCGCGTTACGCGGTGGACTCTTAAGGCCTGTCTTGACCGCTTTGACGGCGGCCCTTCTTGCCCCGTTTGACCACGGTTGCCCAACTGTTAGGTTGGGCCTCCGCATCGGCCTTGAGCTTTGGGGGTGTCAGAACCGGAGTTGCCGCTTTATCGGTGTTACCGGGGCCACCGGTTGATGCCTTCGCTTTAGAGGTTGAGACTAAACTTGAGTTCGTCTTCTTGTCGCCTCTTTTTTCTCCGATGTTCTGTTTGTCCTTGCCAGGAGTTGCCGATGCGCCCCCATCCATTTTGGACTTTAGCGCACCAACCCCTCTATCTCTTTGGGGCATTGGATCTACCGTCCGCCCAGGCATCGTCGCTAGGCTGGCTGTAAATTGCCTGAACAACTCCTGCATCTGGCCCGACAGGGCGTCGCGAATCCTGGCCTCCATAGAGTTTTCTTCAGTGGGGCCGCACGGCGAAACCTCCTTCTCGAGCACCGTGGGGCCTATCCCCCTCAATGACGGTCTCGTTACTGGGGGCATACCTTCCCGTCTAATTTCGTCTAAAATCCTTAGACGATTTTCCTCAGACCTTACTTTGTCGCGACCTTCGTCGGTCTCGGCGATGTATGAGTCACCAGACTCCTCCCCCGAAGAATCAGGGATGATTACTTTTTTGTTTTCCCTCCTCCTAGTTTGGATCTTGTGTCCAATATCCTGATCGAAGCCACTGTTCTCCGAATCGATCCTCGCTGTGTTTCCAATCGGAACACTTAGTGCCTTGCTTCGGGATTCCCTGAGCTCGTTCATTTGTTCCCGAAGCCGCACGTTCTCTTCTCGAAGAGCAGCCACTTCCACACGAAGCTCGTCAAACATAACCTCGTTGGCTGCCACAGTGTCCGGTCCCGTTCGTTTGATCATATGGGTGATTGCAGCGGTGATGGTGGCTGCAGCCTCCTTTAGGCCCTTTTGATCGGTACCCTTGATCCTCTGTGCCGTGGCGCACACCTTGTCCACGACGCGGACCGCCTCGATGATTTTATTGGGCAACTCCGCCGAGGGAGCCATTCTCAGCTCCTCGAGGAGTTTCTTCTCTCTGGCCTTGCGGCTCCTACTCAGGTCGGGAGCCACGGAAGGATCCTGAAGATCCCTGATCTGCCTTTGGATCTTCTCCAGTTCCCTCTTGGCCAGCCTTACCTTCTTCTCTTCATAGGCCCCTGTGGTGGTCGGCCACCCCCCCTCTCCATCTTGTATCTTGGTGGGGATCCTGGAGCTGTGGGTGACCGACGATGCCTGGCTGGTCCTCCCCGATTGTTGATTCAATTCGGAGTCAGTCGATAATACTAACGCCATGTCGACGTCGTCATTTTCCGGAAGACTCGTTGTCCGGACATCTGCGAGGACATCCCTGGCAAGGAAGTCGTCAGCCCTCTCCGCCAGGCTATCCGTCTCGCGTTTCTTTCTAATCAGGTCAGCAATTGTGCTGACGTAACCCGATCCGGTTCCACTCTTAGAGGAGCTCGCACCCTGAGGTCCAGGGATCTTACCCTGAGACTGACTCAAGGTGGCTTTCTCTTTGGCGCACTTCAGGCCTGTGAGCTTTCTCACAACGACCCTAGGAATGGCGCTGAGCTTCCCACCATCAGCGATCACATGTTCCCCCGTGGTGCTCGCCGGCAACACCACGGGCAGCCCGTCGCTCGTTGACGACGTGGGGGGGGGGGAGCCGGGACAGTACCTCCGCCGACACGCCGACTCCTAGGACCCGACCCCAGGGAGTTTTTCTTCTTCGTCGACATACTTTTCATGAAACTTTTTGGTGGTTTCACTTCGGAGTATCCTTCCCTTAGGCTGGTTGCCCACCACAGCTAACGAGCCCAGCCTGCCCGAGCTCGGGTATCCCCGGGTTTGCCAAACCCGTATCGAGGACGCCTCCCCGGAGGTTTCCAGGAAACCGCCCCCGACCCGTGAGGCCACGCCCGCCGATCAACGCCGACGCCTGAGACCCCACCCCCCCACCCACGCACGACGAGGGAAGCCGGCCGAGCCGAGGCTCGATCCCGGCCCCCGCCGCGCGCGAGAAGAGAGGAAGAACGAGGCCCCACCGCCGACGCCACCAACGGGCACATCCGCGCGTCATCGGCCCTTACGTCTGGCGACCAGACCCGCCGGCCCCGACCTGGGAATATGTCCCAGCGGCCCGGCGGGTCTCCCACCCAGGCAACCCGACCCCGGCCTCCAAATACGTCGGAGCGGCTCGGGACTGCCCTCCGTGTTGGAGACACCGTGGGACCACGTCCCTGGTGTGCGAGTCTCCAACACGGGCCTCCCCTCCGGTCGTCCCTGCACCACGTACAGGGACTCCCGAAAGAGGGTTACCCCCGTCTCCCCTGCCGGAGCACCGGCGTGCAATGGGTAACGAGACGAGGGTCATCCCACCTCCTCGGCGAGACGACATCCCTGCCCGCCTCGGAGGTGAAGACCTCCCACCCTGGATCCCCAAAGAGACCCCAGCGAAACCTCTCCCGCCCCGCCGGAGCACCGGCGTGCAATGGACGAGAGAGGCCCGCTCCCCCCATGACGGGTCCGAATCCCCCGACCCGCCGGAGCACTGGCGTGCAATGGTCGAGCGACTCGAGACCCACCCCACGGTTTTTTATCGACGTTTTCCTTCCTCTAGGCCGGCGGGAGGAGTAGAAACTCCCTCCTAACGGTCCCGGCCGACCGGGCGATTGAAGTCAGGGCCGCCAACCCCTACCGGCGATTGGGACCGGCCCGAAGGCCAGTCCCTAAGGGAGTCGCCGGGCTCCCGTTTTTCCCGCCTCTCCGGACATGGTCCGGTGGCAGGAAGGGTGGAATCTTGGACCCCGCACCTCACCAACAGGCCACCGCGGTGACTTCTGTGAACAGAAGTCTCCGGTCATGGTCCGTCGGATCCGAACGGGGAGCCCCCTCGCCACGCCAAAGCGTTCCACCACGAGGGAGAGGTTGATGGAGCTGTCCGACACGGGGTTAGGGTGTCAGCGCGACAAGCGAGAAATTAAGTCCTGTCCCATACAGGAGTCTAAGGAGATAGACAGGCTAGGTCGGCGGCGCTGTGCGACGAACTGCGCGAGAGTTAGGGTGACACGCGAATACTTAGCGCTTGACGGACCGGCGAGGTCTCGCGAGAAACCAGGATAGGTCTGCGACGCGACCCGGTAACGCAGAGGCAAATCCCGGAGACGGTCCGCAATTCAGCTTCCCGGACATCATTCCCGAGGAAGGACTAGCCCTGACACACCAAGGGAATCTAGGACACCGCCAGGGTAGGTCGGCGACGAAATCCGGCCACCCGGACCAAAGATACGGCGACGTCCCGCGATCTCCCGACCCAGACGTCATCTCCTGGGAATAGGCGCGGAAATAGGTTTGATCGACCACCAGAAGTGGTCAGAGTAGGTCGGCGTCATTGGCGTCTGGAGTGCGATGCACCCGGACATCGTCCACAGAAAGAACGTACGGAATCGCGTAAATTAGGGATAATTAGAACGTGCGCATAGGTCGGCGGACAAAAAACGCCGAAGGTGAAAAACCGGTGCACGAGCACCAGGGCGGCGAAGCCTCTAGAACGCGATAACAGCGGAAACTTCCATGGGAAACATCTGGAACGCCCGAACGCGTAAACACGCGTAGAAGGGGAAAAGAGAAAGTCGGAACATCTGGCACTACGGCGCAATAGGCGCAATAGCCCAAGAGAACCCCACGGCTCGAGGCAGTCTCTCGTGGATCGTCTCAAAGGTAACACGTACAACTCATATCTCTCACGTTGTCGCGATAACTTCCGCAATTGTGATCCGATTTCGAAATAAATTATACCGAGACATCTTTAACAAACGGGAACGCCCGCAGAACGCGCTATTGTTCGCAATACAAACGCGAACGGTATTGTATACCGCCGAGAACTTGTGCGTCGTGACTTAGCGATACGTGCGACCACCATCTTGTGTAACTTGAAGATTTGTGAACAACCATCACTGTAAACAAAGAAACTTGAATAAATTAATTAATCAGATGTCAAAGGATTTCTGGAATTATCACATTTACTTACCTTTTACTTACCTGGTCCATCGGTGTCGGTCCATCGAAGTCCCTTGTTGATCCTGGTCGGCGGTGGCAGCGGTGATCCAGAGTGTCGGCGACGGCGATGATCCATCTATGGCGGGAACCTGAAAGAAAGGAAAAATTAGTTAGATTGATATTCCAAGGAATCATAGATACTCACCTTCTCGGTTATTCAAGGTCAAACCGAGTGGCGACCGTTGATTATAAAGACATCCAGTGCAAATCGTACCTTCCTGTAGTGCCGTTTGGTTACAGTGTATAGTGTGCGAGGAGCGTGCTTACCTTCGATTGGCACATCAGACGTGAAAGAATCTGCGGGTTTCCACGTCAAACGCAACGGAGAACCCAAGGTGGGAGATACCTCAATGCCTTGGCAGGGTTAAAATCTTCGTGATCTAAAACAAAATGGCGATCGTGACAGGATACGTAAACGTGTCTGATTGAAGGATAAGGGCCAAAGCACATGACATGGCGTAGCGATCTACGACAATCGTAGTCGTGGACGTAAGTAACGCACAAGGTTTGGCGTAGTGCGTTATGTCGTATGGCGAGTGATGGCGAGGTACGAGCAAGCTGCCAAAACCAAAGGTGAGTACTATCCTGATAATTTCTAAATAAATTAAAAGTAATCGTCAAATTTAATTGTTAAAAGTAAAATTTTTACTAATTAGGCTGTAACAACCTAATTATGCTGTAATGATCTATTTTTGTGCTTATATGTTAAATGACGAACAATGGTAATTTTAGGTTAACAGCAATTTTTCTTTATATAAAAATGCTTTAAAGAACGCTTTTTTTCTTCGCTTGCTCCTTGCTAATTTATGAATTTTTTTTAGATTATTGTTTAAATAAAATTGTACATGATAAATGGTAATTTTTAGGTTAGCGGCATTTACGGATCAACGCCCGATGTACTGACGATACTCGACGTCGCGCTGCTACCCTTACCAGAATCGTTATTGCCTATACGCGCGCTGGAAGAACGATACACCATTGCAGCACGCCGCATTGCTGCGGAAACGTGCGGATGCTCAAAAGAGAAAGAGAGGGAGACGAAGAGGCGAAAAGGAAGAGAAAAAAGGAAAATTACGCTCGGCAAAGCGCTAAGCGCTAAGAGTTCTTCGCCTTCGTTGCGGCTCCTCTCATCTCACGTGCCGCGGTTCGTCAGAGTGACTTTGATCGAACTCCGATTAGCTTGATCAACGATGTAGTTCGACCGTCGCGTTAAGCTAGAAATTTTCCAGTGAGCAATTCTCGACGATACGATTCGTCGTCCTTGATCTATAATCTTCCTTTCCACGTGTCATACGGCGGGGGATTAATTAGTCTATCTGTGTTAATGAGGTAGTACAAGTATTGCTTGGTAAGCTTAATGACTGGATTAAGTTGATCGGAGTTTGCTCACCCTCGATCCCTATGGGTGAGAAAAGTAATGTTGTCGATCGCGAAAATAAAGGAAATGTTATTGCAAAAATCAAGAATAATTCTGCATAAAGATATCTGCTCTCTAATATTGTTTGAAGATGTGTTGTGTGATGTATAACATTGTTATGACTATAACTTCATTGATTATAACTTGCTCTTTTGTTGTAGATATGTAAACTGCATAAGTTTAGAGTTACAAAACTGGTCGATTAAAATAATTACATTCTAAGGATGTATGATTATTTATTTATGGCAAAGTTTACGTTAGTAAGAAATAATTTTATTTTTACGATGCGTATTACAATAATAATCTTGTTTTTTACAGATCGAATTGAACATAGATAAGTTATTTATGTTTACACTTAAGTTTAATTATCTGCATGTACACCTCTACGGATAAAGTCGTACTGCCACGCCAATTCTCCAGTTGGAGAGACAAAGTATTCGCATAATGTGTTTCGTTGAAAAACCCAAATGTCTTCAAAGTACTACTGGGAAGATTAATAGTTCCTTTCGGTAAATTTAATTGCTCATTATTTAAATTTAATCTTATCTGAGAATCACTAAAAATTCCCCCATCGCTGTTTCCTACAATAAATCAGATACATATTTTATTTTTAACGTATTTAGTTATAATAAAGTATAAATAATTATATTTTTGTAAGGCTTACCTCCATAAGCCCGTATATCAACTAAGGTAAATCTGTATAAATGATCTGCCACTGCCATTAAAACGATACTATAATATTTTTTATAATTGTAAAATAAAGTCCCAGAATTTGGAGGACACTTTAGCCTTATGTGTTTTCCATCTACCGAGCCAACGCAATTAGGAAGATTCCACCTATTCCAATAACCGTCTGCACATTTTTTCCAGTCTTCCTCAACAGGAGAAGCAAGATATATCGGTTGTAATACTTTAATCAATACTAGACCAACTTCCTTTATTATATTTCTAACAGTGGATTCACCGACTCGAAATGCCATCGCTATCGATAATGGCAAATCACCTGTAGCAAGATACCTACAAAAATACATTAAATTTATATTGTGTACATAACAAATTATTCTCTTTTAAGACAAAAGTGCAATATCAAATATTATTTTAAGATCGTATACATTGAAATTATTACCTGAGAGCTATTATAAGTCTATGTTCTGGAACAAGAGCACGTTTACTGGTTTTCCTTAAATGTGGTGCTATTAATTCCAGAAGCTTCATAAAGTGTTCAAGTGTCATTCTGGTATAGCGGTAAAACATTTTACTATCATTTTTTAATTCTTGAAATAAATTTTTATAATCCCCATGTCGTGCTCTAATTTGATTTATAGGTCTAGTATGCCATCGCCTATCTTTTAGCAGCCATCTTTTTTGTTTCTTTTTACGCATTAGCAAATTATATGTACACATCCAATTAATAATAAGAAATAGTTTTTATTTTTCATCTTGTTTTTCACTTCTAGAAGCACAAAAAAATATCACTTAATTTATTTATAGAAATTATCAGAATATGTACTCACCGTAGCCCAGGTAGCCAGTCGTCCCGGGGATAGGAGTCAAAGACAGGTCCTGGCATCCAATACGATGACCATGTTACAATTTTCCTTTGCGAAAATGATTATAATGGCAGAAGGCACACATTTTATACGTACTTATCAGGTTGTCATACAACTGGATCTGTATAAGAAAATAATCGAATAATACACCCGGTGAGGTGTGCGTAAGCTTGCTTATTGACCGGCCGACTAGCTTGATCGTTTTCTTGCTTACGTGCTTCATAATCGACTTGATCTTCTTTTGAGCATCCGCACGTTTCCGCAGCAATGCGGCGTGCTGCAATGGTGTATCGTTCTTCCAGCGCGCGTATAGGCAATAACGATTCTGGTAAGGGTAGCAGCGCGACGTCGAGTATCGTCAGTACATCGGGCGTTGATCCGTAAATGCCGCTAACCTAAAAATTACTATTTACCATGTACAATTTTATTTAAACAATAATCTAAAAAAAATTCATAAATTAGCAAGGAGCAAGCGAAGAAAAAAAGCGTTCTTTAAAGCATTCTTATATAAAGAAAAATTGCTGTTAACCTAAAATTACCATTGTTCGTCATTTAACATATAAGCACAAAAATAGATCATTACAGCATAATTAGGTTGTTACAGCCTAATTAGTAAAAATTTTACTTTTAACAATTAAATTTGACGATTACTTTTAATTTATTTAGAAATTATCAGGATAGTACTCACCTTTGGTTTTAGCAGCTTGCTCGTACCTCGCCATCACTCGCCATACGACATAACGCACTACGCCAAAGCTTGTGCGTTACTTACGTCCACGACTACGATTGTCGTAGATCGCTACGCCATGTCATGTGCTTTGGCCCTAAGTGATCACGGGTCTTGTAAAAGATTCGAAAAGCAGCGTTGGGTAACCTAACTCCTAACATGCGAAAAGTGAAAGCACCTAATGTGCGAAAATAAAAGTCAAATGCACCTAACGTGCGAAAATTGAAGTCATAGCACTGCACGTGCAAGGATTGACGACATAGCACCTAACGTGCGAAAATTTAAGTGAAAACGATCTAACGTGCGAGAATTGAAGTCATAGCACTGCACGTGCAAGGATTGAGGTCATAGCACCTAACAGGTCAAAACTTTCATGCATTATACCTAACTGGTGTGAGTCAAAGTGATCATACCTAACGGGAAGGATTAAAAGTGACAGTGATCGTGCGAACGCGACACGTCACAGCTAAGCAAGCAACGAGTGCAACGAGGCCAAGTGACAGCAAGTGTAACCGCGCCGCAACAACGTGCGTGAAGCGTGTGAAATTGTGCGGCGACAAACTGCCGAGGCGATATACAGAATCGCACGGAAAGCGTACGAGCGTGAAGCACGAGAAGAGTCCGAAGTGCAATCAGAGCACAAGTGCCGCGATACTTATAAAATTTTCCACACTCGGGCGTGAACTGAGATACCGCCCTGACACGTCATAACAAGGTGCGACAACGAACGCGAGGCCGTAACGTAGAATATGAACGCGGCCTAAACCAACGCGTTGCGATACCGTACGGACGCGATTAGGCGACATCGAATCCGCGAGAAGTGCCATAACCTACGGCACCATAGGGCCGAAAAGGGGAGATACACGAAAAACACTCGTATGGCGACGCTACGAACGCCGTCAGGAGTGAAAACAAGGTCCAGAGGACTGGCAGAAGAAAACAACGACAACGTCGGCGACAAGATCAACGACAACGTCAACCATGAAGACAACATAGAAGACCCACAGGAGGGCAACCAACAACCACCGCGGGATATCAACATCACCGTCGGGGAACAAAGTGAGGCAATTAACCTCAGTGCGGAGAAAACATAGAACAACCACCGGGGAAAATCGTCATTCCAGCCGGGGAACAGAACGAAGCGATAGGTATCGCAAATTCAAGCGGCGAGGCGCCAACGAGACCGACCTCGGGCGCTGTGACAAAGTGCGAGAAGTCACGCAAGGCCGTAACGTGAAACATACGCACGGTCTACACCAAGCGTTGCACAATTGTACGGGCGTCCGTAGGCGACATCGGGGCCCGCATAGAGCATTAAAACCTCGACAATATGGGGTCAAAGGTAAGACAAGGGAGAGGAAGAACATCCCAAAGGAAAAGGATAAAGTTGAAAGGAACAACGACAAGCGAAAACCGTCATGACGGCGGAGAGTTCGCGGCAGGCACGACACAGAGTAGAAAGTTCCGAGAGAAGTGGGCTGACCTGTTCGAAGGCGAAGAGGACTCCGAAGACAAGCTATGGTTCGTCCCCGATGAGCGCGAACCGGAAAGGAAGACCATGAGCAAGGGATATGCATGGGACGACGTAATGCAAAGGAAAGTAGCGGCCCCCAGAAGACGGCTCACTAAGATGCGGAGCCTGAACGACAGGCCGACCGACAAACTCGACAACGACGAGGACAAAGTGACGAACCGCAGCATCGAAACAACAGAAAGGAAGCCGACAGATCGAGAACTAAGCCTGATGCGGCAAGTGCAGTGCCTGAAGGCACAGTTGGCGGAAATACAAAGGAACATGGGGCCAACAGAGATCAGTGACCACAAAACGAGTCCCGCGGACATCGCGGAGAAAAGTGCCCAAATGATCGAGAGCGACAAAGAGAATCGAGCAGTCACGCACGCGAGGCCGAAACGGGAACCAGCGAAGATCAGCTAGAGGAGGCAGTGAGCGAGGGAGGAGATGAAATCACCAAAACAAGCGAAGAGGACATATAGTATGTAAAAACGCCGATGGAAGAACTCAGACGCAGCAAATATATGGGGAGGACCGTCCTTGGGACGGGATGGCAGACAACGGCGATTAATCGTGACTCGTGTGGAAGTGTGAGAAACCACGGCAAAGGGATCGAACCCGTACTAACAGCGCAGTTCGAAGCGAAAGGAGCCTTCTCAAACAAAGGACTCACTGTCAGGGACAAAGCGCAGATGATAGGCAGGTATGAGAGGAAAATGTTCGCTCGTGGGGATTACGGCGTGGACAGAGCAACACTGAAAGTAGGATTGGGGACGAAGCTCCATCTCCGATGCCTGATTACAATAAACTGTGACCCACCTGTTAAGTTTGAATCTCGGGCTTTCCCTAGTCACTATAGATAGAGCCGGCCCGGCAGGCGTGAAAGGTCGTCGGCTAATCTCTCATGTGTTATATACACATGGTTCTTCTTCGCTCGCGCTGCTGGAATGTTCTACTCTCTCGATGTAACTGTCACGAGTAGGAGAATAAAGGCACTTTTGTTCAAATCTTAAGACTGACTTGGATTAATTTATTCAACAGGTTATGGGCCCAGGTTGCTCGCATTGTGCATAAAGTTAATCTCGCGGACGTAAAATTGCGAGGAGTAGAGATAACTGGATAACCTGTATAACCTCGAAGTACGTACAAGCGCATCAAGTTTCGCGTGGTACGTGACGATCGTACAAGTCACCAAAATGTCGGACAAGATCGATGTGGCATCCGTCGGAAAGTTTGATGGCAGAAACTATCACCAATGGAAGTTCCAGTTGTGCTGTGCCTTACGCGCAAAAGGCCTCTTCGAGATTGCTAAAGGGATAGAAGTAAAGCCGCCGACGGTCGGAGACGTGCAGAAGAAATGGATCAGGGACGATGCGTATGCCATGTTTCTGCTAACATCGGCGATGGACTACTCCCAGATCACCCTCCTCGAGAATTGTCAGTCGTCCAAGCAGATATTAGATAAGTTAGACGCGATTTACGAACAGAAATCGGACATGAATAAAATGATAGCGCACGAAAGGTTTTCTCAGTATAAAATGGAGGTTAATGACTCGATAGCGCAGCATATCGCGAAGGTAGAAAATCTCGCACAACAGATTAAAGATACGGACGAAAATTTAAGTGATATAGCAATAATGACTAAAATATTAGGTAGTTTGCCTCCTAGATTTAGAAGCTTCCGCCAAGCGTGGCTAAAAATTGTATGTAATATGGAAATAGACAACATAAGAAATATTGAACTGTACGAAATAGATTCTGACCGTGATTCTGACAATGATGAGGATGAGAATGATGTACGTGTTCCAAAAAGATACATTAGAGATTGGCTAAATCCGTTTGAGTTTTACAGCAATCGAGAGTTCAAAAGACGTTTCAGATTTAACAAAGATTCTATACTTTATGGAATTCAACCTAAAATTGAAGAAGGATTTTTATACCTTAATAACCGTGGTCTTCCTATACCTCCGATATTTCAATTATTAATATGTCTACGGTTCTATGCCACAAGCAGTTTTCAGGTTAAAAGATGAAATATATTATGATTATATATATAACAAGATGTTTAATAATTATATGTCATAATTATTTCTGAAAATTAAATAACAATTATTTATAAAAATATTGTACAGATAACATTTTAATATGTGTGCAGCAAGTACTTGGAGACACTATAATCGTTTCACAGCCAACTGTATCAAGAGTAGTATTCCGAGTGTCTGTACTTCTAGCAAGGCTTTTCAAGCAATTTATAAAGATGCCTGTCACACCAGATGCTACAAGAGAAAATCATAGGCTTTTTAGAGATATAGGACGTCGCAATGGAGGCATTGATTTACCCGGCATTGATGGAGCGATTGACTGCACACAAGTGCGTTTAGTCCATACCAGGTTCCAGAACATTGACGAAGTTTATAGAAATCGAAAAGGATACTTTTCATTGAATGTACAGGTAAGTAATTACATATATGTAAATATAAAATTTTAATGTAATAGCATAGTTTGAATTTTAATTGCATAGCATAATTTTAATAAACAAAAATTGTTGATTTTTAAACAGTAAAACATGTAGAACATTAAAAATTATTAGTTTTATATGTACATACGCAGGCTGTTGTTGGACCCAGAACAGAATTTTTAGACATTGTCCCAGAATGGCCTGGAAGCCAACACACGATAGTAGAATTTTCCAAAATTCTAGATTATATATGACATACACTCAAGGTCAATTATTAGGAGTTTTAATAGGAGATGCTGGATATCCCTGTCTACCATTCCTTTTAACTCCTCTTTCGAATCCACAGACAGATGAAGAAAGCACGTTAGTATATTGTGTCTTTACGTTTATGTTATATTCATCCATTGTCCATAAAAACCCAACAACGAATAATATATTTTTTATTACAGTTAGAATATATTTCATAGGAGAACACGACGACGTGTCGAAAGGACCGTTGGAATATGGAAGCGCAGATTTCCGTGTTTGTCTAGAGGATTAAGCAACAACGTAATATGTTCAACCACACGTGTAGTTGCTTGTGCTGTGCTACATAATCTTTCCGGTAATTCTTTAGAATAGGGCTTTTTCCGAATTTTGATATTTTCTTGCGGTTTTCTTGGTAAAAACCTTTGTTGTGACTCCGACAGTGATAATCAATCGGGGGAGCCCGAAAAATATGCACCCTACCTATTTTTTTTACCTATTTTTACTTTATTTTTGATAAATGTCTAGATTAAGGGCGCATACACTTTCCACGCGAACCGAGGTTCACCGGCCCGAAAGCAGGAGGGGGTGTGCGTGAACCTCGGTTCGCGTGAAAAGTGTATGCGTGAACTATTTCGGGGCTACCGCACCTCCCCCGAAAGCACGGGAGGGGTGTGCGTAAACCTCGGTTTGCGTGGAAAGTGTATGCGTGAACTATTTCGGGACTACCGCATCTCCCTCGAAAGCACGGGGGGGGTGTGCGTGAACCTCGGTTCGCGTGGAAAGTGTATGCGTGAACTATTTCGGGACTACCGCACCTCCCCCGAAAGCACGGGGGGGGGTGTGCGTGAACCTCGGTTCGCGTGAAAAGTGTATGCG